AGGTCCTGTGTTCAAGCACACCCAGAACTTCCTCCCCTGGAAAGCAGCCGCCCATCTCAGGGCATCAATTTCTCCTTGGGGACAACCGAGTGAATTAGTGATGCCTCAGGCCAGTTTTGAAAGACTGGCAGAGATTGCTGCCCTGTCACCACCCCCAGGCACTGCTGGCCAGCAAGGAGTTGGGGGAGATTGCCACCTGGTGGTCAGTGTTGGCAGTGCCACAGAGCTACAGGCAAAATCATGATCTGGGAGCCCCCAGGCCCAGATCCAGGCTTGACTTTAACTGTATGACCTTGGGAAAGTCGCTGCCACCCTACCCTCTGAGACTCATTCTTCTTAGCTAAAATGTGGGATTCATGATGCCAGCCTCGAGGGGCAATAGTGGGCATTTAACTAAACAATTGTGCCAGTGTCCCTCTCTTGGGCAGGCCCTTAATAAAGGTTTGATACACCTGGATCTCATCCTAGCCAGACTCAGAGCAGGGTCAGCCCCAGGAGACAGAACGGGAGGTGAATGCCCCATATTTAGATGCAGGGCAGACATATCCTAGCCCCAGATCAACCTCTCTCAGGCATGGCAAAGAGGAAAGCCAGACCTTGGCCCCAGCATCCTCCAAAGGAGCCAGGCATAGGCTCCACAGACTAGAGCTCTCAGGCAGCTGTGCTCAGCCCAGTCTCCAACACCCAAACCCAGGGTTTCCCAGGTCCGCTCTGTACTAATTAGAAGACGGTGTGCCCTCGGGCGGTTGTAGCCTTACAGGAAAGTGATCTGGGGAGCTCTCCACTGGCTGAATTTCAGGCCCCGCTTGCCCCTTGGCCACGCGCTTTTGTCTGGTGCACCAAAGACAGCAACCCTGTCCAAACACATCACTTACCTGAGCTCCCGACTCTGAAACCCATCTGCTCCCAGTTGGCAGAATCAGCCTCAGTTCCCCAACAAGTATAAGTGTGTCTGCAGCTGCGAACCCTTGTTGGGCCCCTTTGGGCTCATGGATGTCCGATGAGGACCTGAGCTTGGTATGAGGTTTCTGCTCTCCATCTGCAACTCCTGAAGCACTGGGATATTCAGTGGCCTGGAAAGCCAACATGGAACCCTACCCTCAAGCCCCATCACACCTCGCTGAGAATTGTAAAAAAGTAGTTACTCTCCTGAAAGGGGAGTCTTCACATAATGGGTGGAAGGCAATTGACACACCAGACTTTGGTCTCAAGATTCAAATTCCCCTTTTGGTCTTTTCTCACTGATTTCTGCTGCCACCACCATGTTGGCCTTTGGGAGCCTCGCTCTCTACTTCCAAGGCTCCAGGTCAAGTGTGCCCACCCAGCCATCCATCCCTCAATGCCAGCAACACAGGGGAAGCCAGGCTGCAGTATCAGATCAGGCTCCAGGAAAGGTTTCTGAGTAACAACAGAAAATGTGGCATGAACCTGGATTACTGGAATGGCAGAGAAGGTGTTCCTCAGCTCCAACCTGGGAGCCACTTGGCGGCACCTCCCTGAATCCAGGGTTCACTTTAACTTGGGGTTCTGGGGATCACCCTCTGGGTCACTTAGATGCCATGAAGTCTCGACCAAAGCAGTGAGGTCAGAAAAGACAGGAGTGTCCTATCCCGCCTAAGCCCCACCTCAAAGTTTCCAATTTTGGAGGATCTCTACTTTTCCAGGTGATTGAAACTGGAATGGCCACTAACTCATTCATTCAACAAATATTTATTGAGTACCTAATACATTAGGGGAAGAAATAATATGGTGAACAATCGGGCACAGCACTCTCCCCTCAAACCTCATACCTGCCCATAGGGCTTGGCCTTAACGCAAACTCCATGGCCCAGAACCATCATTCAACTTCAAAAACAGGAACCTGAGCTTTCAAGCCAGGCACACAGAGTAAGTAGCAGGAGGTGTGCTGCAGCTTCTTGATCGCTTTCCAATGTCTTCATTACAAAGAAATCTGGGTCTGGGGCCCCTGAGAAGAGGGAGCCAAAGAGAAGGGTAACAGGAGAACGTAACGAGGACTTTTGCCTTATGGCTGTGCACAGCGTGACTACAAAGGGCAGAACATGACAATTCAGACCAGACACAGGGTCAGATTACTGTCTGACTAGTGGGTGTCACGTGAACATTAGTACTAGCAGTCTCTGTTCCTCCTACCCCATGGGGCTGGCGAGAGTGTGAGTATGAGGTAGGTGAGGTAATAGGTGAAGAGGTAAGTTTGATAACATGGTGCTGCTCAAAGAGTTTCCGTGGACCTGCATCATCAGCATTACTTGGGGGCTTGTTAGAAATGCAGATTCTCAGGCCTCACTCCAGACCTACTGAATTAGATTCTGGGAGAGGGGAAGCAGCAAGCTATTAAAAAACAGTAACAACTCTCTAGGTGATCCACAGGGACACATAAGCTTGAAAAGTACAACTACCACACTGTGTGCAGGTGATGGGCTAACAATTACTGCAGGGGAAAATCATAATAATTATGGCAGCTTCCATTTTTTGAATTATCTGCTATGTGCCAGGCACTTGTTAACCTTTATCTAAATTTAAATACCTCATTTCACATAACCTTGGCAACAACTCTTTGAGATACTTCTATTATCCTAGTTTTTGCAGGTGAAGAATTTATAGTAAACTACCCAAGTCACTTAACCTTTACAAGGCTCAGTTTCCTTGTCTGTAGTTCAGAGACAACGTCTGGCCTCCCTGGTTGTTGTGAGAACAAGAGACAGTGTGTGGAGGTCCATCCACATTGTGTGATGGGCTCAGACCTGGCACTGGGTGCAGCTCCAGGGACTGGCCCACGGCGGGGAAGGGCAGAGGCAGTGTTGCTATCTCGACTTGTGCCTCAATTGGAGACCTGCCCAGAGCCCGCAGGCTCTGACCTCACTCAGCGCTAAGCCAGCTTCACCTGCTATCAAGCGCTATTACCCCTCAAGGGAACCTGTGTTCTCATTTCTGATTCTATTCCTAGTTGATGACAACAAAATCTATGTTTAGGATGACGCTGGGTTTTGGAAGGCAGCTGCCCTGAAGGTTGAGGGTACTGGAAAGTAATTTCCAGCTAGATCTAGGCTCCCAAGGAGAGAAATTAATGCATTTCTCTTGGATGAAATAGAAAGGGAAGACCTTTGGTTTGAGAGGCAACTCTAGTGCAACTGTGAGACACATTACTACCAGGATCAGCAGCAGCAGCCTCTTAACTAGCTGCTGAATGCCCACCACGTTCCAAGGACTTAAGAGACACCATCTCTGCCTCACATCAACCTGCAAGGTAGTAATCACACAGGTCAGCCTTTTATTTGCCAGATGACAAAAATACAGGTTTGGAATCAGATCTGACTTCATTACTTACTGGTATGTGACACTGGACTATGTCATGTAATCTTACTGAGTCTCAACTTTCCTATCTCTAAAATGGGTTATTGAATTAAAAGAGAATGTATGTATAACTGAAAACACACAAGTAAGCACTTTACAAGTGTTGCTCACCTCCCATCTCCTTTCCTATACTGTGCGGTTCCTGGCCCTATGGTGGGCATGGAGAGCAGCAATGACTCAGACCAAGTTCCTTCCTCCTTGGAGCTGAGATTCCCCTCTTCTGTATCAGGCGGGGTCATTTCTCAGTAAGGGAGCAAAAGGTCTGGGGCAAAGTCAGAAGGTTGGGAAAATCAAAAGGCTGGAGATTTGCTAAGGACGTGACAGCCTTGGAGCACTCTCCCCAGGGGGCCCTGCCTTCCTCCCCTCTCCTCCATCCATCACTCTTATTTTCAGCATTCAATTGTCCAATGTTGCCAATGAAGATCAATGGGTGAAAGGTTAATTTATTCCCTATTTACATGAAATTGCACCATTTCCTAAACCCTTTTGAGGATTCACTCCCTGGTGAGTGGCTGGGCTAGAAGCCTGCTCCTGCTATAGCTGAACAAATGGATTCCCAGAGAGGGCCAGTGACTGGCACAAAATCACCCATCAGGCCAGTGTCAAGCTCGAGGAAAAGACCAGGGACTCCTGACTCCTCCTGACCCAGTTCTTTCTCCATTCTATCCCAGTGTGTCTCCTGGTAATGTACCTTTTAGGTAATACTGTCAATCAAACAAGAGTAGACTGTATTGAAAATTTACTTCCCATGGCTTGTAGTTCTGCTCCAGGTAATAACAGGTTGTGGTACCAATTAACTGAATTTTCCGAGTATGGGCAGTCATATTCTTTTGGTTGCCAGCTATATACATCCAGCCCAAACTAGCTTAAGAAATAAAAAATCAAACAAAGTTGGTGGTTATGGGTTCCCATGACAGTGGGGCCCTAGTTGGTATCATCAGGACTGTTGCTGCCTGGCTCTTGATTCTTTCAGGCTTCTGCTACATACAGGCATTCTCACAACTTCATTCTCAGAACTTCATTCTTCCATTTTATATGACTCTTAGTGTTATGATGAAAGATAGGCCCGTTTGAAACTTTTTCAATAGTCATTTGCTTTAAGAAAGCAGCCTGATCTACTGACAGAACTTGAAACATTTGGCGAAATTCAGCAGCACATTAGGCATTTCAATGGTAGCAGTCAAATAAAAGATCACGAGTCAAGCTAAAGCTATCACCCACTTCACTGAGGTAATATTTGTGGCCTCTCCAGCTTCAATTTGAGAATAACCTCAAGGTTATTTTCAAAATAGAAAAAGACATGCAGTGACAAGCACTGGGGCTGGTGTCAGACGGGGGAGATTCTGTGCATCCCACTTCCTTCACTTAATAGCTAGTATGTAATATGCAACTAAACCAGTCATGCTCATCTCTGCACTGCTTCCCTTGGTAGGTAACTTTGTTCAAAGGACAAGTTGTAAAAATGCAAAGGACGATTATTAAGGTTTTCTGAAAGTAAAAGTTCTTATGAAAAGCAAGAAAGTGCCTCAAATCCATTTTTTAAAGGAGTTGGCTACAAACTAGATACAAGTATTAGGATAATAACCATCTCATAGTTTCCTTAACAGCAACAAAAGTCAAAACAGTAGTCATCAGAATTAAGCTCTTTATTCATCTTCCTTGTTTCAAAGAGTCAAGGTAGTTCTTATAGTACAGAAAACACTTCTGGCACTTGGTATCACAGAGCCAAGGCACGCTCAAACATGCTGACCCCCGCATCCCACTTTGAGTCCTGGAGGAATGGCAGTTATAGAAAACCCAATCAGGGACAGAGGGAAAATACCAGTGACATGAGACCCCCCCAGGTCAAGGCTTGGCTTTAGGCTTGGGCTGTGATCCTGGGACATTTAGGCAGGACCAACCAAGACAGAGAGCAGCTCATTCCCAGAAAGTACTGAGACCAGCCTGGACATACCCTCTCTCCACCCTCCTGCCGAGAAGACTCATTTAGGGCCAATGTTCAGCAGGCTGAGTGCTATGCAAGCCACAGAGGGACGCATCACGCTCTTCCCGCTCTTCCCGCGGGGAACTTGCCCTGGCCTCTCAGTTAGCTCCAGGAGGCCAAGGGTCTGTGACCCCTTTGTTCATTTAGCATAATTTTACTGCTGTCTGTGCTGTGCCAGGCCCTGTGCTGGGTGCAGAGGGCACAGAGAGGAATCAGACACAGTCCTTATCTTCAGGAAATTCAGAATATGATAGAAAAATCATATATTTATAAGTAAGTCATTGTGATTCAAGGTAAAAAGGATGCAGTGAGGACTCAGACTTGGCCCTCAAGGATTCACAGCCTAGCAGAGGCCGAGTGGGCACAACATGGACAATAACTCCAGGCAGCCTGTGGTAAGGCCACAGGGAGGCATGACCAGCCAGCCACTGACTAACACAGAGGGGAAATTTACCGCTTACTGGAGAAGGCCAAGCAGCCTAATCTAGCCAAAGTGGAAGTAATGAATCTTACTGCCCTGGGGAGGGGACTGTGCTGCCTCAGGCTGGCCTCCGTGCATCCCTCGGACTACCCAACAGGTAGGGTGCAAGGTCTCTTACCTCTGGCTGCAGGTGCATGATATCCTATAGATCTGAGGGGAGACTGGTGACCAGGAGGAACAGGTCCAAATAAAGGGCCTGAGGTAAACGCTAGGAGCCTAGGAATGTGGGAACCAGTGGGTTGAATGAGTGGGAGGCTGGTCTGGGCATATACCAGCAGGAGGGCAGCCTTCCTGCACTCCCAGTGGTGGGCCACCTGCGCTGGATGGATCCATCCTAAGGGTCCAAGGACCGGGTGGGGGCCTCTAGGGGCAAAGGACCACAGCCTACACAGTCCTCTTTTTATGCCGCTGGATTGGAAGCCTCCAGTCTGCTTTCCTCTTTTCTTCACAGCTGCCATCACCTGTCCTATCTTTTCCATTCTCCCAACCTGAGAGTGGCTGAAATGGGTTCAGTTAGGGGAACAGTATCCTGGTATAAGTCCCAGGGTCCTGAAGACCTTGGCTAACTGACACTAACAAGAGTTGGAGGGCCTACAGCTGTTTTTAAAGTTTAAGACAGCTTAAAGTTTCAGGGTTAGGTAGGAACTTACCAGCGGCCTAACCTGTGCAGGCCTCTTTCCCTCCCAAAAACGTCTCAGAGAACAGCTCCAGCCTGTTGTCATTTCTTCTTCACAGCAGCCACCACCTACTCCATCTCTCCTGCCAAGGCTCCATGTCTGCACCCCTTCTCTCTCTTCCTAAAGGCGTCAGGACTCCTACCTGCTGTTCTTTTCCTTCACAGCTGCCATCCCCCACTCTGGTCCTCTCTCATCCTCATTCTGGATTACCCCAGCCCTCTTTTCTTGTCATTCCTGAAATATGCACGCAGGCCCTCTGCCTATTCAGAATTTCACTGCTAGTCACTAAGAAGCAGCAAACATGAGGCAAAGGGGAAGGAGAAAGGGGAGGGAAACTAGAGGTAGATGAGACATCTTATGAGAACAGTGTGGTCCACACGGGCATGTGACTCAGCACCTGTCCCCGGCTCCCTTCTTGGACGGTCCCAAGAAGTCTTCATATTCTCATTCTCTCCATCCTTTGGCTTTGGTTGTAGAACTTAGCCATCTTCCCTATTCCTATCTATTTGGGGTACAGTGCTCAGGAAAGCTTTGCTTAACAAGGAGTTTCCACTACTGAGGAGGGGGCAGCCCTTTTAATCCTCTCCCCTCCCCAGTTCCTCCCTGTACCACTAACTCTACCCACTCCCAAACCCCCACACCCTCCACTTGCCAACTTGACAGAGGTCTTCTTTGACAGCAGCTTCATTTGAAGAAGTAGAGATGAGTATTCATTATTTCACCCAACAACTAAAGGACCTATATGCTAAGCTAAATGTAAACACAATGAGGTGTTGGTGGCAATGAGGAGCCACAAATGACTTTCAACAAGGGAATGGCAATAGAAAGTGCCTCACTATGCACAGGCACTCAGTTATAGAAATATTTACATAAACGTATAAATGAGTGAATGAATGATCATAACTGTGTGCTGGGAAGACAACTTTGGGAAATTCGTATGAGAGGCTAAGGGAATTTTTTAAATCCCCTCTAAGCCCTGGGCTTAAGCCAGATGCTAAAGTAGGTGAAGTTAATCTCTACCAGCCTCTTAGGCTGTGTTCCATGACTAAGACTTGCTCTCCAGGGTCATTACCCAGCAGCAAACATATTTACATGAAACCTGTTTAAGGCATTATCCTCCCAAAATAGGGACAAAAAAGAAATCTCTCATGATAGAATATCTGTCACACTCTATGGGAGAAACAATCTAAAATAAGAGCAGCCATCTGGTATCGTCTGAGACCCAGCACTGGCACAGTTCAGCCCCAAACCTATCACACAAAGAGGCATCCCAGTAGGTCCAAACAAATAGGCCTGAATCAGAGGTTTGGGAGTCCAGAGACCTTCCTAATGGTGAAGAGCTTCTCTACAGGTAAAGCAGTGGCTAGGCTAGGACAACATCCTGAAAAAACCAAACTGGGAAACTCAGCAGCTTGGACAAGCCCTGGGGAAGATGACTGCAGGCACAATAAAGATACAGTGAAGATAATGACATCAGGAGCTACGAGCACCCCAACTTAGAGCCCAGCATCTACAAACCAGCTGCTTATTTTCTCCTCCTTCTATCCCTATAAACTGCGAACTGCTTAAGGGCAGAAACTATGAGAAGTTTTGTCCAATGCTTTAAACTCCTAACCCATGTCCTTTTCCCATCAAGAGCTATCCTAATAAGGGAACTTCAGGTTCATCTTTCACAGGAGTCATGCCATCAGAAATAATAAGTACCATTATTAAGGACCACTAACACGGAGCTTCTCACTTTCCCCTGAGGAAATAATGCTTTCTGGATAGGGGAGGGAAGGTTGAGCAGAGGTGCAAAGCTGGAGCAGACAAGTGGCCACATGATTCTACTGTTCGGCCCAATTCCTCTAGAACAGGGAGCCTGTAGAGCTCTGAGCATGATTGGAAGGGTGTGGGCATCTTTTGTTACTAAAAACAGAACAAACCATCCAGGTCTTCCATTGTGCCATGGCAACTGCTTGTAACTTCACACTTGGATGAGTGGCAAGTCATTTGAAAAGATGAGTCCTCTGACTTCCATTTTGAGATGAGAGTCACATATGCAGCCAGGACTTGCTGATCACATAGCATACGGGCACCCTGACTTTCCTAGACCTGGGAATAAGAGAAATCACAGAACCAATCCTCTCATTTTACAGATGGAGACCTGAGGCCCAGAGAGTTCACGTGACATGTCCAAGGTCCCAAATCAAGACAGTGGTAGAGCCAGGATTATGTCATGGTCTCTCAATTCACAGTTCATTGCTCCTTCCCCTGCAGTAGCTATGGCAAGATTTTCATTTTGCTCTTTGGAGGAGAAGCGGAAAAAAAGGTAGGGAGCAGAATGTTTTGGATTCTCTGCAGACTTCAGTAACCTCTGTTATCCTGGCCATGGTTGCCTGTTATGGTAACCCTTCTATGAAAAGATGGGTCCTAAGCCAATTGGTTTTGAGTTGGCTCAGTTCTGACCAGGGCTGGTACAGTCCCCGTTCACATGGCTCAGGATCTCTCGGTCTGTGAACAGGCGGAAGGCAATCTGCTCACACTCCCTCTTCGTTCCACATTCAAACAAACACCCAAATAAGCCCTCCTTCTCCAGAGCAGCCAAATCAGAGTAACCACAGGGCCCGCAGTGCAAGATCCAGGGGCGGGACCAGCAGGCAGCCTCCAAGGGAGTCTGGTTGAGGTAGATGCCTAGGTCAACCCTCTGTTTCTTATTGGTTGGGTGTGAGTACAAGAGCCATGATTCTGACTGGGTTCCAGCTTCCAGCTCTAGCCTCAATGATCTGCCCAGGAGAGGGATCTGCTGAATGGTAGGAACATCTTTGCCAGTAGGGTCCTGGCACACATGTGGGATCTCCAGGGGCCGGAAACTCACCACACTGCCTTGGCAGCCATGCGGGGGCTCACAGAGCTGTTGGCTCAGGGCTGGTCTCTGAAAGCATTCACCGTGGTCAGTGCTAAGAGCCTCTGCCCGGCGCCTGTTTGGTGTTCGGGCACTACAATACAGCACAGGTTGGCCGGCCCTCCTGCTCACCTCTGCCACTTCACACTCCACTGTCACTATGGGCTTAATCAGCCTGCCACGCTGCCATGTGGCTCCTAGGTCGTCACTGTAGATCATCAGGGAATGAGGCCTGACTTTATATGGTATCCGAAAGCAAAAGAACCAGTAAGGGATGTAGTAGGCGTATGCAGGGATGACCAGCCTCCCGGACTGCAGCTGGATCCCATGACCTGGGCCCACAGCAAATGTGGCCCAATGCTTGACCTCTGGGCCAATGACCTCCTCGGTCAGGTCCCTCACTTCGCTCCATGAATAGCCAGCATCCTGACTGCAGATGAAGCAGAGACGGGCAGCATTCCTGCCTGTCATAATCTGTTGACGCTCAGTGACATGGCCCCGCACGCAGATGAAGAATAGGTACACACGGCCACTCTTCTGCTCCCACACAGGACAGGGGTTCATGGTCCGATGCCCAGGTAATGTGGCTTCCATCAGTGGCTTCAGGGGTTCCCACTGGACAAGGGAAGGGAGAGAGAGCAGGAGTGAAAGACTAATAGGAAGACAGGAGGCTCATTAAAAGATTAAAAGTATTAGGATCTCTCAAAGATAAGAAATAAATGGTATTGAAATCTGTAAAATCATGAAGGCCCAAGTGTTGACTGAATTCTCAAATATTATATAAGTTATAAAGTTGCAGAGAGGTAATGCTGGACATTGTACATGCTGTCTCCTCTGTCTGGGACACTCTTCCCCACTTTGCCTAGATGCCCAATTCATCTTCCAAAACAACTCAAAGTCACTTCATTCATGAAGCGTCCCATCAAACTCCCTCTCCATCCCTACCAAAGAATCAGTGGCTTTCTCTTTGTACATATAGAAGAGTTACAGCACATATTATATATCATACAGGCAGACCTCAGAAATACCGCAGGCTCAGTTTCAGATCACTGCAATAAAGGAAATAGCATGAAAAAGTGAGTCACATGAATTTTTCGGTGTCCCAGTGTATATAAAAGTTAGATTTACACTATCCTGTAGTCTATTAAGTGTGAAAAGCATTATGTCTAAAAATCCCCAATGTATATATCTTGATTTAAAAACACCTTGTTGCTAACAAAATGCTAACCCTTATCTAAGCCTTCAGCAAGTCGTAATCTTTCTGCTGCTGGAGGGTTTGAAATATTGCAAGAATTACCAAAATGTGACACAGAGACTCAAAGGGAGCAATGCTGTTGGAAAAATGGTGCCAACAGACTTGCTTCACGCAGAGGTGCCACAAACCTTCAATTTGTTAAAAACACATTATCTGTGAAGCACAGTAAAGGGAAGTGCACTGAAACAGGTGTCTGTAATTTTTTTATGTGACTGGCTCCCTTCCTGGACTGAGTCTTTTGAAGGTAGAAACCAATTTATTCTACTTTTGTATCACCAGTGTCTAGCACATGATGAGGGCAAAATAAATATTTTTATAAAGAAAGACCCCCCCCAAAAAAAGCAGAAAGAAAGAAAGAAAAGAAAAACAAACAGAAGAAAAGCACAGCAAGGCAGATAAATATGGAAGTTTTAGGCAAATAAAGGAAAATTAAAGACAAAGATTTTTTTCCCTTCTTCTACTACCCTGGGAAGGCAATTCATAAAAGTGTCATTAAAAACATGGAGTGAGAGACACCTAGTTCAACCCCTGCCTCCATCACTCGTCGTGTGATCTAGGCCAGGTTACTTAATCTTAACTTTACCTCCATTTCTTTATCGGTTAAATCGAGGACATAATAACATGCTCAAAGAGGAGTTGTAAGGATAACATGAGATAATGCCTAATCCGACATATCATAAACAAATACCTAATTTCCTTAACATATCTTTAAAACAACATTTGAAATTGGTAAGAAATTTTCCAAAAACCTAACATAACTGGGCAAAGAGCAAGATCAGACAACTAACAGAAAGACAAAAAAAAAAAAGAAAAAGAAAATATGTTCAACCTCACATATAAAAGAGAAAAGCAAATTAAACTGGCATAGTATTTTTCATCAAACAAATTGGCAACATCATTAACTCTGACAATATTCTGTTGACAAAAATGTGAAGAAACAGGCACTCATATGTGGATTGGAGTGCAAAATGGTTTAACACTCATGAAGGTTATATCAAAATTATAAATGCACTTATCTTTTCCCAGCATCCCCCATTCTGGGAATTTACCCTAAGATATATCTGCTTATCAAATTAAGTATGTATAAGATTACTCACTGTGGCATTGCTTGAAACAGCACAATATAGTGAACCCAAATATTCATCAATAGGCGACTGGTTAAATGAACATACAATACAACAGGTGAAAAAAGAGAAAGGAAAGCTTCTGTATACTGATACGGAAAGATCTCCATAATATATTATTAAATGAACAAAGCAAAATACAGAAGAGTGTATAAGAAACGTGAAGGAAAAGGACTTCCAATTACAGCAACTAGGTATGTAACCAAATCTTCCAGTGAAAAATAGGCTAGATAAAAAATTAAAACAAAAACATCTATTTGGAAGCACCAGAGAGCAAATAAGGTGATGAAGAATTTTGGCCAAGAACTGAAACAGTTCATTCAGAGAGGATGACCTGGTATTTTAAGTACCTTTTCCCCTCAGGTATGTCTACTAATTTTCAAAGAGGTAACTGAAAGGCTAAGAAGCTGAGCAATTCATCTGACAGCCCTATGGGGCTAGGAGGACAAAAATTAGAGGCCCTGGTAAACCCACCATGCTCTGAGTTGCAACCTTAATATACACAGCAACAAAAATGCATGCACATAGTACAGAAAAACATGTGCAGAATATTCAGAGCCACATTATCTATACACTCAATCACTAACCCAAATATGCAACAAATATAGAATGCATCGATTCAATGTATATAGTCATACAACAGACTATTATATAACAATGAAAATGAACAAATTACAGCTGTACATAACAATCTGAATAAACCTCAAGAATATGGAACAAAAGAAGCAAGACAGAAAAAAAGCCAAACATAAAGAATACATAGATTAAAAACAAGCAAAACAAAACTCTAGAATCAGACTAGTAATTACCTTTGGGAAGAAGAGAAGGAACAAAAGAGAAGCTTCTGAGGTGCTGGCAATATTCTATTCCTTGAGCTGAGTGGTGAGTCCAGAAGTACTGGCTTTGTCAATTTACAAAGCTGACATTTATGTTTTGTGCCTTTGACAATTATTTTTTATGTTTTCTGTATCTATGTTATCACTTTACATTAAAAAAGTTTTAAAAGGGGTATTAAGACTATCTACTTGTATTTCTTTGTTTCTGCGTGAAGAAGCACTAGGAGGATACATAAGAAATAACTGACTGCCTATAGGAGATAGAGGACTGGAAATGGGATGTACACATTTCTATACCGTCTTTATCCTTCAGCCCTATGAATGCATTATCTACCCACAACAAAAAACTTAATTCCTGCATGAATGAGCAAAACACATTATTAAGCAAAGCTCAGATCATGGAATTTCAGAGTCATAAGGACCCAGTGCTAACACGTCCTACAGAAGATTCTCCTCTAATTCTTGTGGATAAAGGCCATTCAGTCTCTCCTTGAACTAGTCTAGGGACAGGGAACTCACTATGTCTGGGGCAGCCCATTCTATGACGGAGTACTCTGTACAATGTAAACAGTTCTAACATATGTGCCAAAGTCAACTTAATTACTGGGCATAAGTCCACCTTCCTCCATGAAGCTCTCCCAGATTGGCTAAGACTGCTTCCTAAATCCCCTCAAATGGCTTTGTTCCTCTCTGGAAAATATATGCATGAGAAGTCCACATTGCTGTCTGACCTGACTGCATTTTAAACCATGGAGGCAGGGACCTCACTTCCCTGTTTACTCTCAGAAAATCAAGGCCTGGAAGGCCACCAGTGGGAGGGGGCAGCCAGGCCTGCCTCGAGGAGGATAGAAAAGGCACCCACAGAGCTGACTCCAGACTCTCACAGATACCACGAAAGACAGGAGATAAACAAAGCACTGTGGATGTCAGAGAAGGGAAAGATCATGTCTGATGTAGAGAATCCAGGGAGAAATCACATTTGGTTCTTCTTACCTTCAACACACCCACTTCAAGTGTCAGCTTAGATGCCACGCCCCACACAATAGCTTCTCTGATCTCCAGCTGCGTATGAACTACTAAGGAAACACCCACTCTGCGTGAACCTGCCTTGTGACACTTTGTGGATTCTGTGTGGATGTTTTGGACAGTTACATCTGTGCACAGCTTTGCTTTCTCTTCGCAATTTGGTTGAGCAAATTCTTCCCAAAGAGGAGTCAATGTATGAAGGCTCTTCTCTGCCCTCCTCCATACGTGTCTCTTCCCTCTTTCAAGTGCCAATAAGACCGTCTGGGGAGCAGACTTAATTTTCCATTGTCACCCCAGGGATAGTGTCCCTGTCTTCTCAGCACCCTGTGAGGAAACCAACACTTTATGGATAGCACTCAATATGTGAGCTGATGAGAAGTAACAGCTGCAAACTCATTTGGATAATTAAGATTGCTCAGATCAGCAATCTTGAGCAGGAGCCAGGAATATTTAAGAATATCCATCAGCACTGCTATTCCTTTCAGGAATAGGAGGGAAAAAAAAATACTGGGCAGTCCAGTTGTTGACAAGTCAGAAGCTCAGCCATCCTTACTAGCTGGGAAGAGAAAATTCTTTGGGCCGGATATGTCTAACATAAAGTTGACATGAAGCTGGAAGAAACTGTAAACAAAATATGAAAGCATTAGAAGCCAAATGACCTCAACCAGGTGGGGCAATGGGACATAAACAAGCTGAGGCTTGACAGAGATAAAACAAATCTTGGGCTTAAAAATTTAGATGGAGAAACATGAACAAAGAACAACAAATGTAATGGCCAACAAGCATATGAAAAGATACCAAACATTGCTAATAACCAGGGAAATGCAAATTAAAACCATAATGAGCTATCACCTCCTATTCATTAGGGTGGCTACTATCAAAAAAACCAAAAAGCAAAATAAGTGTTTGTGAGGATGTGGAAAAACTGTGTACTGTTGGAGGGAATATAAAAAGGTGCATTGTGGTAAACAGTATGGAGGTCCCTCAAAAATTTATAACAGAATCACCATATAATGATCAATTCAACTTCTAGGTATATAGCCAAAAGAACTGAGCGAAAGGTCTTGAAGAGATGTTTGCACACCCATGTTCCACAGCAGCATTATTCACAATAGCCAAAGGTGGGAACAACTCAAGTGTCCGTCAACCGATGAAAGGATAAACCAAATGGTTAAATGTTATAATGGATAAACATACAACAGAATATTATTTGGCCTTTGAAAAGAAGGAAATCCTGACATATGCTATAACATGGATGACCCTTGAGAACATTACGTTAAGTGAAATAAACCAATCACAAAAAGACAAATACTACATGATTCCACTTATATGACATAGCTAAAGTAATCAAACTTATAGAAACAAAGAACAGTAGTGGTTGCTAGGGGCCGGGGGAGAGGGAAAGTTGTTGTGCAATGAGCTGTTGTGCAATGAGTATAAACTTGCAGTCATGTACTAAGTTCTAGAGATTTGTTGCACAACAATGTGCATACAGTTAATGATACTGCAATGTACACTTAAAACGGTTAAGATGGAAAGTTTTATGTTAGGTGTATTTTACCACAATTGAAAAGGTTTTAAAAGGAACAAAAAATGTGAAAAAGGCTTGGAGGTTTTAGCTGACCATGTACTTAATACTTGGGCAGGTACCCAAAAAAGTAAATGCTACTTTACCTTAGCCTGCGTTAAAAGGATACAAGATTGGACAGCCACCTGGCTGTTGAGCTGCTCAATCTATCTCTGGGCCATAAGTTCAATTCTGAGTACCATACTTCGAAAAAGGACACAAACATCCCAGACAAGGTCCCAAGGACAGTAATCACAGTTTTTAAGGGACCAGAAACTAAATCAAACTGTAGCCGAAGGACCCACTAAAAGAACCGAAGGTGTTGAAGCGGGTGTGAATATCGCTTTCAGGTACATCAAAGTGCAGTTCTCCACAAGAGGGACTTTATCTGTACAATGTACAGATGGACTTCCCCAGAAGGCAGAAGACCAACAGTTAATTACAGACAAGTGCAGATCATCTCATTCCACACACACACACACACACACACAAAGTTCACAGTTGCCTTAGGATTAAGGCAAAACTCATTGGAGGAGTTGTGTAAGCAGACCCTTAATAGAAGATGACTAAAGTTGAGTTCCTACTATGTAATTGCTATTATTAATTATATTCTGCAGATGATGAAACAGAGAAGAGTCAAGTATCCAAGGTCACAGCCGATAAATAGGTCTTCCCTGACTTCAAAGCCGTGCTCTTAACCACTAAGCTATTAGTAGCTCCAACGGAATACAAAACACATCTTTACTGGGAAAGAAGTTGACGGTTCTTCTAACTTCAAGATTCTACAATTAAGTACATCAGAGAATGAATGTGAATAACATGAAGAGAAGGGAGGATGAGTTAAAGTGGATACATTTGTTAACGTGTGTGACTACCAGACAGTGAGGTTAAGTAACAGGTATGGTCTGATAACAAATGCTTAACCGCCCAACTGTCAGTGACAGAAAGTAAGGCAACATAACCACAGGCATGGCCTGTTCTGAAGGAAACAAAAGAACTAGAACTCCATGCTGGGCTGCAAGACGCCAGTAATATAAGCTGAGGTTTGACCATGGGACGCCAAAAAAAAAACTCATGACAAGGTGTAAGAGCGTGCACTGGAAATTCCCTAAAGTAAAACACTTCCCCACAGGGAAATGTGAGTAAGTCATTAAAAGCAAAGACAGGGGTTGCTGGCAAGGCCCACCTTCAGCAGAATAGCATTTACATTATAACAGCAAAACAAGGCATCCCTATGGACATGAAGTTTTAACGGTGAGATTTCTGTGGGCGGAAAAGCAGGGCACATTAGGGGGATTAAAGTGCCTGTTTATTAAAAATGTATGTATGTATGTATGTATTTAAGTCTCAAATCCATTGCCTCACTTGATCCTCACTTCAGCCAGCTCTGAGAGATAAAAGAAGGCAACAATGAGAAAAATGGGATCTGAACTAACCCTGTAGCTCACAGGCCCAAGGGCAGCAAAGGCTTCTCTCCTCCATTAAAAACACAGTAAAAATGTGCTACTTAGGGACAAGGGCTCCAACCCCAGTTCTGCCCCTTATTAGGTGTGTGCTTAAGGGAAGTCACTTTAATCCTCAGCCCCAGTTTCCTCTTGTGAAATGGGGACAATCATATGCACCTCACATAAAGCATGGAGGAAGAAGAGGAAGAGGAGGAGGACAAGGAGGAGGAGGAAGCTAAGCAGGAGGAGGAGGAGTAAGGTGGTTGTTATCCTCCCAGCATCTTCTGCTAGCTGTGTCTTGAACAAGCTACCTATCTACTGGAGCATCAGGATCCCTCATCAGCAAAACTGGAATAATAATGCTTACTTCTCTTGTAACTTATGAGGATTAAAGACAAAATGTCAGCGAAAAGCACACCACATGTTGGTTGAATCTAACGAAACATTGAAGCCTCTAGTCAGAGACTGAGTTTGAAGCCTACTTTTACGTTTTTATTATAGCTGTGTGACCTTGAGCAAGTAGCAACCTCTCTGAGCCTCAGTTTCCTCTTCTGTAAAATGTGACTGACAACAGTTTCTACATCACAGAGCGGCTGGAAGATCCAGTGTGCCCCTGGAACAAAATAAGTACTCTATAAATGAAAGCCATTGCTTTTACTGTTTTTTTAACTCCTCAGCTCTGACACAAGCTTTTTCCTGCAGTGACAGGAAAAGGCACAGGCTTTGACATGCTCTGAGCAATGTAGAAACCGAGGCCCAGGTCTGGGATAGGGAGTCACCTGTACTGAGTGCCCAGTCCTCAACCCTCGCCTCAGCACCAGGTGGAGCGCATCCTCATCCCTGCTCGTAGAGCGCTTCTCTGCAAAGGCCAGGAAGGTGTGGGCGGGGGGAACGTAGAGCAGGGCTGGGATCCGGTAGGTGACCCCTTTCTCATCTTCCTGCTGGAACAGAGGGCTGTTGAAGGAGCACGATGTCACCTCTTCCATGACCTCTGCAAGGACAGGAGGCAGCTAAATACATGTCCACATCCAAATGCTGGCTTGTATACAAGTTCTGCTCTATCATCCATTTCTGGAGATCACTAGAATGCACAGATGTACTTAAAATGTGTAATTTTTTATACAAAAGTAACATCATGATCTCAACAGCACAGAGCAGGCAATATACATTCTCATTTAACAAGTCTCTCCTCCAGACTCTGTGGGACTCCTGTCAAGTGTCTCTCCAGGGAAATTCTGCATGTGCCTCTGCCAAGCAGGCAGGGTATTACAAGTCTAGATAGTTTCTAATGTCTATTTCTTGGCTTGGAGTTTTTAGGCCTTTCAGGTAATATAAATATAAACCCAAATCCATATGAGGGAATGCTTCTACTGGAACCTAGGATAAGAGGCAACCTTTATCATCTTTGTCAGTAGTGAGATTTCTTTTTCCTGCTCCACCTGATAAAAGGACATAGATTTTCAAGGCACCAAGCTTCATGAAGGCGTCTCAGTTCTAACCAGAGTCTAACCCATGTGGGCCCATAGTTTCATTCACTGTAACAGCAGCCCAAGCTTCTATGTAAGTGGGACCAGCAAACATCCAGGGCATCTGACGTCAGGTAAAGGGGCTGACTTCTCTGGTTTTCAGCTTACTCTTGGTTTTTTAGGCCCCTGGGGATTTCTCTTACTTTCTTGCAAATTCAACTACAAAGGACTTTGTTATATTTTACCTACCATTTTACAGGTTAGTCAGCCTGCCATAATGCTGAAAATGGAAGTCTCTAGCTACATTTCTCAAAGAAAATCAGGTATTCAACTTCTCAGAGGTCCAAAAACAGAATCAAGCCAGACAGACAGAATCAGGCTTAGAATTTTTTTCTTTTTTCTCTCTCACTGTCATCAAGCCCTGTCTTCCAAATCATTTGTAAAAAATAATGAGGCTGTAAGAACGAGGCCGATAGGTCTTACTCATAATATTTAATAAATATTTTTGAGTGCCTACTCCATCTAAGTCAGGCCATAAGGTAGGTGCTGAGCAGTCAGAACCAGAGGTCCCTGCCCTCAAGAAACCCATATCCAAGTTGGGGAAACAGACATATACATAGACAAGTATAATACCATGTAGTAAGTGCTACTTTAGAGGCCAACATGAGAGCATGTAGGAAAACAGAAAAGGGCATCAGTCCAGATCAAGGCAGCAGAGGAGTTCCGGAAGGGTCGTAACTGAGCCAAGTCATTTCCTGTCTCATATCCTTAAACTCTGTGCTTGGAACATTCAAATTGGCACTGTCCTCACTCCCTCACCTCCTCCAGATCTGTTCAAACATCATCCAACCCCTGAAGACTTTCCTGATGACTCCCTTGCCCCTCTCGATCCTCTTTCCCCACTCTATTCTCCATGCCACTCATCACCGATTTATTAGACTTGTTTAATATGTGCTACAGGATAGAAGCTCCATAAAGGGCAGGGATGTGTCTGTTTTACTCACTGTTACACCTCTACACCTATAGCCATGCCTGGTAGTTGACAGGCACTTGACAAACATTTGTTGAATGACGGAATGAATGGGCGAGCTGGATCTTAAAGGATGAATAGTGGGTTAGCCAGGTGAAGTGTGAAAAGGAGAAGGGCAGAGGGGTGCGATGCAAAAAGCCTAAAGGTCACAGAAAACATAGCAAGCTGTGGGGACTCAGTAATCCAGTATGTCTCTAGTGAAATGCAAAAGCTGTGAGCAAAGGTAGGACTGAAGGGGTCAGGCCAGTGCAAATCCTGGGAGGCTTTGATACCTCATTAGGGTGTTTACCCCACAGATAGAGAGCCACTCAACAGTTTTTGGCAGAGGAATGCCATGATCAAGTACGCATTTTAGACTATTCTCTCAGGTAGCCTTCTGGGCAATGAACTGAAGGGGGAAAGTTGCATTGTCAAAGGCTACAGACTCCTAGTGTCAATCAGGACAAGCTTTGTCATCAGCAACATGAGTGATTCATTCAGTCACTTGTTTCTAACTTAAAGAGAGAAGAACCGTGGTTTGTTACATGAGGCGGGTGGGGAGGTGGCCTTGAGTCCAGAAGAAAAACCTCCCCTCACTCCAATTCTGGGCTCTCAGTTGTCTTTCTCACACCGTACCTGAGCACATCTCTCTCTCTCCTGTTCAGGCTCTCCTGCTAAAGGGTCAGGCTTTCTCCTAAGTAAAGATCTGTTCCTAGGCCAAGCTGGTGTAATGGTTTAGAATACAGAACTGAACCAGACCAGGACTTCATGAACCCAGGCATGTTATTTAACTTCTCTATGCTTCCAGAGCCTCATTTATAAGATCAGTACAATGGTTGAGGGAATTAAGTTAAAAAGCTTACTTAAGAGGCTATTACAAGGCCCATGACATAGTATGAGCTCAATATATAACAGTTATTATTCTTAGACTGCCAGTCACTGCATATTCTAGTTTCATTCCTTGAAACCTGTGGATGATGATGATGATAACAACCACAGTTACAATTCCCCTTCTTAAAGACATTTAAATCCCTCTGCATCTCTGAGATTTAAATTCTTAGAAGTCATATGAGTTAATACCAACACTATTATTCATCAGCCAACACATGATTATTGGTTAACATCAAAAGAGGATGTCTCTGAGTGATACGAAGAATGGAGCACAGGCTAGGCATGGGAATGGGTGGGGAGGACCAGGAAAAAGGAAAGGGAGAGGAAGTGGAGAGAGCACATAAGGAGAAATACAAGTTCTCACTGTGTGACCTTGTGCAGGTCACTTAATCTCTCTAGGTCTTAGATTCCTTGCTTATAAAATGTGATCAACAATAATATTTATCTAAGATTATCGAATGAAGAACCACTCAAAAGTGCTGTATAAACTTTAAAACACCGTGTAAGTATTATAAATTCCGATGTCTTCACAATTTCACTTGCAGCTTTGCTATCACTGTAACAATTAGAGTCCCCATCATTCTTTTTATTAATTAGATTATGCTGATCATGTTGATGACAGTGTGCAACACAGGTGGTGGCTCTGGCACCGATACCCAAACTATTTCACACAAACTATATGCTGGGAGCTAGGGATAGAGAAGAATCAGATATAGTTCTGCTCTGGAGCCATTCATTTTAGCAGAGAACTCAAAGTTGTTAACTGCTGCTCCCTATAATCACCTTTCAGTCAAGCCCTCCATGCTCTCCTGCTGGCAGAAAGTATAGTGTAGTTTGGTCTTTGAAGTCTGACTTGGTTTTGACACTTACTAGCAAATCACTTTACCTCTGAGCCTATTACCTCATTTGTAATGCGGATAATACCACCTATTTCTCAAGCTTTAAGAACAATGTAATTCCATAGACTCCAATAAATTCAGTGTAGCTGGCAGCCTCCAGTGAACCCCAAAAGGAGGCCTCTCTCATTTTACTCACTCCTAACGAATAAAACTTAAGGGGCACCCATCGTCAGGCCTCTGGAAATCCTGTAGTCCAAACCCCTCTCATGGAACACATGGTAAAAACCGATCCGAAGGGCATAAACTTCTCTAAAGCCTCTCAATGAGTCAGTAACAAAACCTGGACCGAGGCCCAGATCTAAGTTTCGGCTCAGGGCTCTCTGCAGCCCACAGACCCTCTCTAATAAGAAGGGTTTTCCTAGCCTCAGTTCCCTTTCATCTCTAAATAAGTTTGGCTTCAGTCGAAGGAAAACAAAAACATAACAAGCCAAGAATACTTTCTGGCTATGTCTGAGACCCAATATTCCCTGTAGACTGGATTTCCTAAACCCAGATGGTGCTGCCCAACCTGTTCCCACAGTCACAGTACCCCACTTTTCGGGGGCTCTCCAGTCTCCCTGCCCCACTCACCTCCGCGGGACGCCAGCTCCTCCATCTCTCTCAGGGCAGATCTGGGCGCGAGGTCAAGCTCTCACGTCTCGGACACCAAAGCCCGGGAGAATGACCAAGACTGGGGAGACCGAGGCAAGAGAAAGACGGCGGACACGGACACAAACTGCCGAACAGCGCAGGAAAAAGCGGGGGTGGGGATGCGCGGAGGCCGCGGCCGGCAGTTGCGGCCGTTGGTTGGCTGCAGCAGGGAGTCAGCCCCGCCCCCACCGGTCAGCGCAGCCTTGAACGTCTCTCCCCACGCCAGCCTTTAGCCACGTCCCAGCCTAGGCTTGGGACTTGCCCCTTCCTTTCCGGTCACCCTCTCCTGCCCAGGCCCCGGTTCAGCTCCTAACGGCCGCGCAGCTCCCTGGCTCCGCCCCTCACCCTTCCACTTCCTGCCCCCCTCCCCATTCATCCACCCCCGCGTTTCTGAGTCCCCTGTATCCACGCTCTCACCTATTGGTCGCCACTCTGATGCTAGGTATCACTGCCTAAAACTTCCCTGGACTGCTTGAGAGTCGAGCAAAAGTTCCGGGCCTCGGAGAGGACTTCACAAAAGGGTACAGGGGTCCAGAGTATTGGGGAACCTACCCAATTCAAATTATATTCATATGCGTTATTTTATGTGTGTATGCATGTATGAATATATTTTTTGAGCAAATTGTATTTGATAACTCGCTGAATAAAATAAAAATCCGAGTCTATACTGATACGCACAATTGAATAGGAGAGAGAAAACAATTCTTCCTATAGTAGAATTCCAATTAATAAATGTAGACAGTGTGGAGACTATTTGAACATAATATGGTTTCTGAACACCTGCTTTCCTTCTGGGAGCCTGGAATTTTGATACGTGGTAGGCAGAGGGTTCCCCCATGAATAGCCCCAATAATATGGGTCCTGAGTCTAATGGATTCTCTAGGGAGAAACATGGCGCACGTGCTCCATTTGCATTGCTGGGGTAAACTGTATTTAATGAGATCCCTCATGGACGGAGAGAGCATAAGAAAGCCTACACATGGATTCCTTCAGACTCTGCCTGCATCTTTTTCTCTTACAATCCAGTGTGTGTCCTCTCTATATTGCTATCATAGATCTTAGCTGTGAGTACAACTATATGCTTAGTCCTGTGAGTGCTTCTAACTAATCTCTGAACCTAGGGATGAATCGGAGTCTTGGGAACCCTCAGCCAAAAACCATATATAAAGTTTTAAAACAAGTAAAACAATAATACCATGTATTGTTAATGCACACATGTGTGAAGAAAATGCATAGGAATAATAAATACCAAGTTCAGGATAGTAGTCATTTCTGAGAGTGCAGGAAGTAGATGTGATTAGGGATACCCAAGGAACTTCAACGGTATTGGTAATTTTTTTTAAAGGTGGCAGTGGGCTTATGGGTGTTCACTTTATTATTCTCTAAACTTTATAATTTGTCTGAAATATTTCATTTTTAAAGAGTGGTTCTTACAAAGTCCTAGGGTTCTTCATCAGACATCTTCAAACACATAATCACCAATTCTATGGATCATCAAGTCAACTTTAGGAAAATATCTAAAGTGAATTCCAAATCTCTCTCAGTTCTTCTTTGGTGGTCTCAGTCTAATGCTGAGGCAGTGAGGTTTAGCAGCAATCTCTATATTTGGAGGTGAAGAGATCTTGACTCCAATCCTTTACTTCCTACTTCCTAGCTGAATGACATTGGCAAGTTATTTAACATGTGTGCCTCAGGTTCCTCATCTGTAAAACAGGCACTCTTGGCCCCACTCCTCATTTATAGATATAGATCAGATCAAATACATTTCATTTCATGGAGGCCTCCCAGGCCTCTGTGCTAAAATAGTTACTCTTTCTCCAGCCTCCACAGCACTTTGTACAGATGGTTTCTGAGGCATAACTCCAAGTACAGCAGGATATATTAGCAACTGCAGACTCTACCTTGGCCCAGAAGGAAGTCAAGAGTGATTCTATCATCCATAACCACACTGGCCAGTGAGTTGAGTTTCACCTGAGTAAATTCCAGGGCTGAGGTGATATCATTGATGGCTTCAGCTAAAGTCAGGAGCAAATTTCAAATCAACATTTCTAACAGGATGACTCTCAAGATGGGGATAACCTCCTGCAGAGTGTGCATAAATGAGTCGGTCACCCTCCAGGAAGCTCCCCTGTGTAACCAAGGGTAGCCTCATTTTGGGGCAATATCCACAGTCACCTAAGGGCTACATGACCTACTGGTGGTGTTTCCTTAAACACTTGAAGGTTGCTTATGGCCCTCCGTATGTGCAAGACACCATGTTTTCAGGGCAGAAGGGGCTAATGTCTGGCTTCCACACAGGAAATACAATCCTGGGGGCATATATGATGTCCCCATTTATCATTGTTGGGACCTCCCAAGTGGGATCTACATCATTTAGAGGACACAGATTGACAGTGTCCCTAATGTAACCGCCTGCCCACCTGGTAGGCCTCAGAGTTCCCAGGTCATTTAGAATAATTGAAATCAGTCCTTGTTTTTGAAAAGATTCCCTGGTAACAGTCCAACCTAGCCCATTTGTCCATGTCACCAGCCAGGTGGCATCTATCCATCCTACAGGATGACTGAGCAATAGCTACAAGAATGGGGGTGAGGAAACATCTAGAGGTTGCGACATGTGTTTTGTATGAGGTACAGGGGCTGAAATTACACCTGATGTTTTTGCATGAGAGGTATAGGAGCTGAAATTACAACTGACCTCTCAGTAGGTTAAAGGGAATGTTTAAAAGGAATCAAACTGTGGTCAGAGCCATCAAGTGGTGGATAGCAAATCCAGCAGTTAGTCAAGTTTAAGGAGCTTACAACAGTATGAGACAGTTGTACTAGGCCATTTTTCTTTGAGAGGAAGCCTCCGGGGGTGACTTTTTCTAAATTTTATGATCTAGGACCATGTCAAACATCATCAAATATACAATTGATATCAATAACACATTGATGTGAAAGCCACAAAGCATTAGTACACTGAATTCATTTAGACGCTCCCCCTACAGGTCATTTTAATTTTCCTTTCCCACTGCAAACTTGGCCCAAACCCCACCAGTTGAATTCAGACACTTTTCCCCCCACCATGGGAATCCAAACTAAGCAGTTTAAAATAGGTAAGTAGCAGGCCACAGTCACAGCCACAGCCACCAAGAGATCATGTTCTCTTCCAGCCAAAAGTGTGAGAGGCTAGCCTACACGGGGCAGCTGGGAAAGGACTTTCCTGACTCCTGCTCCAGGGTCAGTGCTGCCTTTTCCCTTGTGTACTGCTTGGCTCCTACAAGCATCTGCAGATCAGAGATTGCTATTTTGGGTATTTTTTTCACCCCTCCGCATACCACTGTGGATCTGCCTCACAGTCCTTGGCACTTTTGAGCATCTCTGTGCCCAGTGCTCCCTGTCTCCATGGGACTAAGTAGGATGGTGACTTAGATGATTATATCCAATACAGCTATAAAAGGGGAGTCTCTCCTCTCCTCAAAGATTCCCCCAGCATACATAGCTTCCTTCCTTAAATCAGGAAAGGGATCAGGTCATGCATTTACTGTTGTTTCAAATGGTTACCTGCTTGGACTCAACAAACTCCTAATATTTTTGGTCCACTCAAAGCTCTATATCCTGATTGCAACACCACTTATTCCACCTTTGGGGAATCCTTTACTCATCAGTCACAGCCATAACTGCCTTCAGCTCGGGCCACAGGCTTGCTGCCTCATTGTCAAAACATCCTTCCCTCCTTCTGGCCTTAGGAGAATGAGCAACAACCTAAATTCCAGTTGGACAGTGTGTTTCAATTCTACCTCTTGCTGCTTAGCCTCAAAACATTCATTAACATGAAGGACAACCAGGGGCCCTTATTCCCCTCCTTTCTCACTAGCATTTGCTACCAGACCCCAGGTTATCTTCTTATATTCTCACCTGGCCCATGTCCTCTCTCTTCTGAAGTCTTGTCTGTCAGGATCCCATCCCTGCTACCAGACTGTCAAGAGTAGTCTATGAAAGGTCTAGAATTTGATGCTACTTGCAAAACGAACAAGTTAACCTATTATTTTTTCACAGATGCTGGCAGATGACATGAGACTCCTGAATCAGAGACAAAGAACTTTATTGCTTATAGTACAGTAAGCAGCAATGGGCAAGTTTGTGCCAGTCCCCCCTTCACCCCCGAACAAGTGATGCAGGTAGGCCTAAGTGGATGCCTACACATGCAGTGGGTTGTGTCACAGGAAAACCCTGAGCTTGGGGGATTCAACACTTTCACAGTGAACAGCAGGCAAACCTCCTAGAAAAGAGACATTACCTCATCTCTCAAGGTTGTTCACTACAAACAGAAAACACTGAGAAAAGGCATTCATGTGAAGCAAGAACATGCAGGGATGCTCAGGGTTCCTGGCAGATCGCTTCTCTCAACACTTTCTCATTCTCCAGTGGGTCACCTCTGACAGCATTATAAACTAAATCCAGGGCACTAAGAGCCTGAATACTGATACTGAATATTATTCAATACTAATCAGTGGTTTCCCAGAAGAGTTTGTCAGTGACAGGGAAATTTCCCTGAAAGAGCCAAAGCTCCCTTACAGCAGCCAAGACATACTGCAAAAAACCCTGAGACCTTTACTGTTGTCTCTGAATGAATCTAAAGTTGGCATGATAGACTGCACGAGGCAGCTAGCTGTAAGACAATCTAACAGTTGCCTTTCTTCCTTAACAAGCATTATACCCCAGAACCTCTCCTCACCCAAGTAAACCAGACAAATTTCTAACAATTCACGTAGTTTCCATTCACAGAAGTAGGGAATTTTCCTCTTTTCATTTTTGTGTAGGTGTCTCTGTAACTGCTGTCTGAAAGGAGGAGGAACCTGTTGCCCATCTGGGATGAATATTAGTGTATTACAATGGGGTGGATCTGAAGCTGACTGCCAGATGAGTGAGGAAGTCCTCCTACTCAGAGGAGAGTGAGCAACCACCAGTTGCACCTTCTGAACAACTGTCTTTGAACCTACTTCCCGGTACTCAGAGCCTACAACCACCTCCCCAATCCTCATTAACAGGCAATAATGTATTTAAAACATTATTCTGAGCAGGGGGTCATAGACAACACTAGGCTGTCAAAAAAGATCCATGGCATTAAAAAAAAAAAGGTTAAGAGTCCTTGTCAATTATTCTTGAAGTAGTTGTGAATATCAGAGGAGTCATCTGAGCACATGTGCTTTCAGGCTGGATTATTAAGAATATTTTATTTGGTAACACTAAAGGCTGTCAGTGGGGATAGTCTTTTACAAAAAATATTGTGATATTAGCTGTTTTCCCAGATAACTTCCATCAGGGAGACAAGATTTAAATTAGGGAAGGGGGT